GGTTTCCAGAGTAGGCTGTGAATCAAACACGCGGAGTGTGTGTGACCGTGATCTAGGGGTTGGGGCGGCGTGCGATTAACGTCGGTAGTCAGCCAAGGAGGACAAACCACCTATGTCAACGTCTTTTTTACAACAGAGCGCTGGGTTCGCTAACTAAATCTCTCGCCTCGGTTGCTGCTCGCACCCGTTTGCGTAGGCCTTCAGCGTAGTGTGCTGGTGCCCGGTAAGCTGCCTGAAAGGCTTCTCTCGCCTCAAATCGGTGCTTCGTATCGATTAACTGTGCGAGGATTGAATTTGAAATCGATCGATTTTACGCTTTGCCTAGCTAGCTTCGCGTACCCTCTTCTGTAGACGCTTCGCTGTTCGGCCAATGTATCCCGTCCGTCTACTATCAGTGGTGCATCCCTCCCACTCGGCCGTCTTTTTCACGCAACCATAACCTCAACCCATTCAAAGGTATAAGTGTGATAATTGAGGAATCAGAATTGGTCCGAGTTGCATCTGTTCACTGTCTGAGGTTCCGGATGATGGAATTTACTGTCATTGTTGAGGACTACGGACACATAAGAATTCATTGTTATAGAGAGCCCTACTGAACACTCCGATCTGTCATAAGGCTCTTATAGAGATGGCTATCGCTTTTTTGACCTCTTCCCTGCCAACGGTGTCGAATTTCTAGTAACAACAGTCAAACTTACTGCAGCGATATCATGTGACTTCTCAGTTACCTTCAATTTTTTAATATTCCTCTTTAAGTATATAAGGGTCGCTTAAGTGACCACGAACTCAGTTATTTTTGCACAATCTCTGTGATGCTGACCGTGTAACCATTGAAAAATTAGAAGTCGCGAAGGAGACACAGTCGCCTGAACACAGGCAACGTCAGACGAATGCAATGTTTGTTCCAATGATTGTGTCCTCTTCGCGACTGCTTCTTGGAACTCGCCTCTTCGCTTCTACCAGCACAGACGAATTCGGCAGATTTACGATTGCGATTATTCATACTCAGGCTTTGGATGTTTGTTTTTATTTACTTACGTTTTCCACGTCTATCCAATATAATATTAAGGCAAAGAGATAGTTAATCAGCATTTTCAGATTAGGGCATGCCGGTCGGAACCCGAAGATGCTTCTCTTTTGTCACAAGTCGAATGCTCACTTAAAATTGGATGACCAATCTTACCGCCAGATCGGCCGTGTGGTACTGGAATAACCACTTGGGCTATTATTAAGGTCTTCATCAGCACGCTTCAGAATGGCTAGCGCTACTCGATTATATCGTACCTCATTTTCTATGGCCGAGGCGATGTTGATATTTTCGTCCTCTCGGGGGGGGGTTCATTTGATTGGCCATCCAAACAACGTGGATCCCGCCCACACACAATTACATTTTAATCTAATAAGATAGTAGTGAGAGCTTTAACTCCTTTGGACACCATAATATGTAGAACATCCATTTACTTAATTTATAGGCAGTGGCGACCGATTCTTTATATTTTCGTCCCCCCCCATCCCAAATCAAGAACAAATCTCGGTATACTAATATTTATTTATGTGTTTATATTTCTCCGAGTGTTCGATCTCCTGCAAGGTTCCCTTGTTAAAGCTAAAACAACAACAGGGCAGGTGGTTTGTTATCGTGTGCCAATCAGGATAAATAAAGCAGGCGTGGAGATGGCTGTGCAGGACTCTGGGGGGCGGCGCTAAATCGATACGTCGATTAACTGGGATTCAATAAGTTGTGGGTCTACTTTGTTTCCGGCGTGGGCGATTATCTTGGTGACTATGACGAAAGACTCGCGGCCCATTTGGAAAGTGTGGACAGTCACCCGGTCGCACAGCTTGCTTATGTTTGCATATGCGCGATCTGAAAATGCGTTCAGTTTGACCTGTATTTACAACTGTATTTTGGACACCGACTACGATACACTAAG